TCTCCTGGATCCTGACAGCCCCCCGATTGACCCCCCCCGGATGGCAGCCTGCGGCAAGTGCAGCCAGGCTGATGGCCGAGTGCTGTGATGTGCCGATTGCAGGCACTCAGGGCACTCCAGGACAGGACTGCTTTGCTGTCCCTCATCGAGGTAGAACTGTCTGTCCGGGGTGGGGGTCGGGTCCCTTGAAGCACAGCCCTCGGCTAGCCTGAGGCAGCAGCTCCACGCTCTAAGTCCTAATCTGATGCGCTGCTGGCACTGCTTCCGGCCAGCCTTAACCTTGGTTCAGGGTCCACTCAGTGTGGACATGCTAGTTCGAATTAGCAAAACGCTAATTCGAACTAGTTTTTAAGTCTGGATGCGCTAATTCGAATTAGCTTAGTTCGAATTAACTAATTTGAACTAAGTTAGTTCGAATTAGCGCTGTAGTGTAGACATACCCAGAGAAAGTAAAACTATGACAATCAGAGGAGACTAGGGCGGGCAGAGACCTCAGGAGTCACTGAGTCCAGCCCCCTGCCCAAAGCTGGACCAACCCCAACGAAATCAGCCCAGCCAGGGCTGTGTCAACCCAGGACTTAAACACCTCTAGGGATGGAGATTCCACCCCCTCCCTAGGGAACCCGTCCCAGGGCTTCCCCACCCTCCTAGACCTAGACCTCCCCCACTGCAACTTGAAACCATTGCTCCTTGTTCTGCCATGAGAACAGCCTCTCCCCAGCCTCTTTGGAACCCTCGTCAGGGAGCTGAAAGCTGCTATCGAATCCCCACTAAATAAGTCCAGTTCCCTCAGGTTCTCCTCAGAAGTCATGTGTCCCAGCCACCTAATTATTTGTATTGCGCTCCACTGGACTCTCCTACGTGTGCACGTCCTTTCAGTAGCGGGGGCCCAGAACTGGACACAACACTCCAGCTGTGGCCTGCCCAGAGCCGAAGAAAGGGGAATAATCACTTCCCTGGATCCGCTGGCCATGCTCCTTCCAGTGCAGCCGGATATGCTGTCAGCCCGCTTGGCTACCAGGGCACCCTGTTGACTTCCATTGAGCACGGACTCATCTCCAGCTTCCCATCTATTGCAATCCCCAGGTCATTTTCTGCAGAACTGCTGCTTAGCCAGTCCCAGCCTGTAGCGATGCCTGGGATTCTTCTGTCCCAAGGGCAGGACGCTGCGCTTGTCCGTGTCGAACCTCATCAGATTTCTTTTGGCCCAACCCTCCAATGTGTCTAGGCCACTCTGGACCCTCTGCCTACCCTCCAGCGTCTCTACCTCTCCCGGCACCGCACAGTCATCTGCGAACTTGCTGAGGGTGCAATCCTCCCCCTCGGCCAGATCATTAGCAAAGATGTTGAACAAACCCAGCCCCAGGACCAAACCCAGGGCTCCCTGCTTGACGCTGGCTGCCAACTGGACATCAAATTGTTGACTGCTGCCCGTTGAGCCGGACAATCCAGCCAGCCTTCTAGCCACCTTTCACCCAAGCCAAACTTCGCTGACACGCTGGCCAGGCGACTGGGGAGATGGCATCAAAAGCTTTGCGAAGGTCGAGGCTCACGTCCACCACTTTCCCTAGCTCACAGAGCCGCTCTCTCATCCACAGGACCGAGGGGGGTGAGGGCTTCAGCTGCCACAGTGGCAGCAGTGCAGCTGGAGCCCTCGGTCCTTTAAATTGTTGCTGGAGCGCTAAGGGCTGGGGAGGGGGTGTAACATGTTCCAGGCAGCGCTGAGGGCAGCCTCCCTTGGGCCCCGCCTTTTCTTCCCTCGGCCCCGCCCCTTCTGGGAGTATGAGCTAGTCCCCCCACCTTGCTCAGGGGTCCACGGAGGCTGTCAGCTCTGCTGATCACCCCATGAAATTAACAGGCAGCAAGATTCATACGAACACAAGAAAGGCTGGGGAGGGGGTGTAACATGTTCCAGGCAGCGCTGAGGGCAGCCTCCCTTGGGCCCCGCCTTTTCTTCCCTCGGCCCCGCCCCTTCTGGGAGTATGAGCTAGTCCCCCCACCTTGCTCAGGGGTCCACGGAGGCTGTCAGCTCTGCTGATCACCCCATGAAATTAACAGGCAGCAAGATTCATACGAACACAAGAAAGCGGTTTTCCACATGACACATGATTAACCTGTGGAACTCACTGCTGTGGAATAATGCGACAGCCAAAGCCAAACAAGACCCAGAGAAAGCACCTGGAGGATAGGTCCATTGATGGCTGCTAGCCGTTATGGTCAGGTATGCTCTGGACAGCCCTAAACCTCTGACTGCCAGAAATTGGGAGGGGAAGACGGGGGTGGATCACGCCAACAGCTCTAGTCTCTAAACTCCCCCTGAACTCTGCTGCCGGCCACTGGTGGAGCCAACAGTGGGCTACATGGAGCACCGGTCTGACCCAGTAGGGCAGTTTTAAGGGTCTTAAGACAGCTCCCCAGAAGGCCTAGGAAAGTCTCCCCATCTTCTTCATTTGACTCCTCAGCATTCCACAGTGCATAGGACAGGAGCATGTGTCTCATAGTGGCCCGAGGCATTCTGGGCATTAGCTCCCTAGATGCTGGCATCTCTGGCTCCCGGGTGTCTCCTTTCCCATCTGGCAGAGACTCAAACGGGCCCTAACGCGCCACAGAACAGCGGAAGCAGCCCGTCTCTACTTACCCAGTTAATGAGGACAAACTTGGGCAGGCCGGAGTTGGGATCCTTCACCCGGCAGAAAGCATACATCACCTTCCCGCTGCTGAGCTCCTCCACCAGCTCCTCCAGGCCGCCATCTGCACAGTGAATTCCACAGGGGGAGGAAGGGAGAGAGGTGAGCGGATCGACCCCACCTTCGCAGTCCCGAGAAGAGGCAAAATAACCCGGCAGCACGAGTCAGGAAAGAACCCAACGGAGGAGAAAATAAAACTGCACGGTCAGCCGCCTTCCTTCCCGGTGCTGCGTCCACGAGCACAGGGCCTGTGGGGTTCGTCTGCCTCTGCGGCTTCTTCCAACCCCCCGGCACAGCGACAGCACAAACAACAAAGCCGTCTCTCCCCGGCGCCAGCCAGGCCCCCGAACAGAACCACACAATAAATACAGCCCAACCTCAGCAATGCTGACACCAGGGCCACAGGAACGCCGGAGAGCAGCCAGCTTCCAGCATCCACAAGCCCCTCCAGAGGCCTTGCCAAGCAGGCGCCTCTTGCAGCGCGCCCTGACCGTCGTCAGAGTCCGCGGAGCTCTCCCAGACCAAGTGGGGAGAGCCGGTCTGGAGCACGGAGCCCGCGGAGAATAACTTGCCAGCCACCCCTCTTAGAATACTGAAAGGGATCCAGGTTTTTGCGCATCCCTGCTGACCACAGCCGCAGTGCAGCCTGGGAGAGGGGAGATCCCCCAGGGAGGCCGTGCCCAGGCCGTTTAGGACTCTCGCGGTCATCACCAGCACCTTGAGCCAAAAGCAGTGGGCAGCCAGCGCTGACCCAGGGCACTGCTGTCACCTGTTCCCAGCGAAACGCCCCCTGGATAACCATGGCACCCTCTTCGGACTCTGCATGCTCTAAGGCGCAGCCCCGTGCCGAGCGCAGACTTGGTCTGAGATGACGAAAGGAACGGTCCAGCCTCCTAGCCAGGCACAGACGGGGAGGAGCGGAGCGGCTTACTGCTCAAATCGAACAGCAGCAAGTCCCCCTGCGCCACCAGCACCAGTGAATGACAGAAGTACTCCTCCAGTCACACGGGCGGATATTACTTCCGCCATCCCCTCCAGCTGCTTCCCCAGCCCGCCGTCCTCACCCCAGGCTTGTCTGGGTTCAACTAGCGCCCAGGCTCCACTAGAAAGCAGGGCAAGACTTCCGGTCTCTCCAGGACAGAGCACCGGCTGGTGGGAATCTGCCCTCGGCACACACGGAACAAGCACAGCCCCCGACGAAAGCCCTCTCTGTGCAAGTGTATAGTCCCTGCACCTAGACTCAGCCCTCGGTGGCTCTCTCCTGCCGCTTGGCCACGAGCAGGCGGAACAAACGCAGCTCCTGGTGGGATCCCTCCGTCTAAACCAGTGGGCACCAAGCAGTCGATCGGGATCTACTGGTGGATCTTGGAGCCTCTGACAGGGGATCCCAACTGGTTTGGCCAGGAGGTTATCAAGCGCTGACACTACGGTTGCCCCTGCCCCCACTGCCCTTGCCCTCTGCCTTGCAGCTGCCCCCCTGGGAGCCTCCTGCTTGCTGTGCAGGGAAGCGGGAGGGGGTCGCTGAAGTCAGAGTGTTCCTCCTCCCCCCACTCCTGTATCCCATCTCCCCCCCCCCCCCCACACCCCTTCCCTCCCCTCCCGCCCCACCCCGGGGGGGGGGGTTGTTGTTGTTACTTCTTTACTGCTTGCAAAGTGGGTTAGTTTGGGTTTTGACTGGTCCGTGTATTTCATCATTTTCATTTCTCTCTTATGCTTAAATGTATTTCTTTGAGCAGTGAGTTCTCCACTGCCGAACCTGGCGTGGCTGGAGTCTGCATCTCTCTGGTAAAGGCTGCTCCTGGGAGTGGCTGGCATGTCCCTGCAGCCCGAGAGAGGCAGAGCAGGGGGTCTCCACATGCTGTCCTGGCCTGCAGACCCCGCTCCTGCGGCTCCCATTGATCGGTAATGGGGAACCGAGGCCTGCAGAAGCTGTGGGCTCTGTGCCTATACGTGGAGGGCAGCACATGGCCCGTGGTGCCATTGCTGGACATGCCAGCTGCTTTGAGGAACGGTGCAGGGCCAGTCCTGCCTTCACCCTGCTGCTCCACCACCTGGACGCCGTCACCGTTAAACGGTGCCCAGCCAGAGCCTGCTTCCTGAACCTCCTCCTGCCCCACACGGGAGTCCCCCTGCACCTAAACTTCCCAGAGCTGGCACCCTGAAATCCCTCCTGGACCCCAATCCTCCACCCTGGGCTAAGGCCAGACCCCTCCCACACACCTAACCCCTTGGCCCAAGACCAGAGCCTGCACCCCAGCCCCCTACCCCAGCCTGGTGAAAGTGAGTGAGGATGGGAGAGGAAGGGGGAGGGAGGCCTCAGAGAAGGGGCGGGATTACCCCCATCCTGCACCCAAAGTGGCCCCAGGCCCCTCACCCCTGCCTGCCCTCCAATTCCCTTCCTCAGCTTGGAGCCCTCTCCTGCACTAAACTCCTTCCCAGACCCCACACCCCTCACCCATTTCTGCACCAGCCCAAACTCCCTCCCAGACCCCGCCCCCTCCATTAATATAGTAGAAATGTGTGGCCTGACACAACTTACCAAACTTCCCCCCCCCTTGCAAAAATGATTCTCCACCCTGGTCTAAAATAAAAAGTAAGTCAAATGAAACCACTCTCACCGTAAACAGACATAACAGACAGCAGAGAACCCCATATCCGAGGGAGGGAGGGAGAGAGGCTAAGAAACAAACATTGGTCCCCTCTTCGGACGTGGCTTATGAAGGGGCTCCCGCTTACCCTGAAGCGAGACCAGCTTGGCAAAGTCTCCAGCTGCATGTTCCTTCCTCTTGTCCCATTTCAGCAGCAAGCTCAAAAGAAGATACAAGGCGCACACAAACAGGAAAGCCAGCTTCCCCCGAGCTCCCTGGCCGGGCGCCTGGTCAGCACAGCCGGTTTCTCAGGCACCAGCAACACCCCCAGCAGACCGATGAATGGGTGTAACAGGGCACATGCCAGTATGCAGCTAAATCAGCTGCAAGTGTAGGTGGTTCACATCCTCCTGCAGACTTTCACCATGACTGTGGCTCTTCGGTTGTAGGTTGCACACGAATAATTTGCTTGGGCTGAGTCTGTGCTATGGTCTAGTTTGAGAGACGGGCTGGATTAGCCGAAGACTCTCAGAAGGCAGTTTACACCCAAGGAGGGGGACATTAACGTGGGCTTTCTGGGGCGTTGCATGCTTCATTAACAGTGCAGGCTGAAGGTGCCTGGCACCGGCCTGTGGCTCTTCGGTTGTAGGTTGCACACGAATAATTTGCTTGGGCTGAGTCTGTGCTATGGTCTAGTTTGAGAGACGGGCTGGATTAGCCGAAGACTCTCAGAAGGCAGTTTACACCCAAGGAGGGGGACATTAACGTGGGCTTTCTGGGGCGTTGCATGCTTCATTAACAGTGCAGGCTGAAGGTGCCTGGCACCGGCCTCAAGACAGCTACTGGGCTACACCTCAGCAACACACCCAGCACCGCCTGGAAG